CCACGCAAGCCAGTGGGAATAATGTTCACCTTTACATCCTCACATTGGTGTGGTAAGAATCATTTGGGTAATATCTGGGAAATAAAGTAACTCAAAAGCAAAATACCCTAACAAATGTAATTTGTAACTAAAGAACATAAAACTGTGATTAAAGTAACTCAAAGGTAATATGCTCTAAAAAATGTCATTTGTTAAGAAAATTAAATAGACCAGTGATTTATAAAATTCTCATCAGATCAGGACAAGAAGGAAGGAAAACAGTTAACGCAGTGATGGCTTTGTCTTACCTTTCTTCCCTACCTTTCTCCCAAACTCAGAAGATGTAGGAGATCAGAGCTTTCAACTAAGTCATCTGAGAGGAAATAGTGCCATTGAGCCTTTTGTATTTTCACTATGATAAATGCACTATTGTCTCCTGTAAGCATTTCACTCAGTTGGTCATTAGTGGCTAACTGGGCTCTGGACACACTGCCTGGGTTCAAATCCCACCACTATGGGGCAATGATTTCAGACTCTGTTTTCACATCTGTAAAATGGGAATAATCACAGCATACTTCATAGAACTCTTGTGAGGATGAAATGAGATATGATACATAAAGTTCTTTTTTTTTTTTTTTTTGAGACGGAGTTACACTCTTGTTACCCAGGCTGGAGTGCAATGGCGCGATCTCGGCTCACCACAGCCTCCGCCTCCTGGGTTCAGGCAATTCTCCTGCCTCAGCCTCCCGAGTAGCTGGGATTACAGGCATGTGCCACCATGCCCAGCTAATTTTTTGTATTTTTAGTAGAGACGGGGTTTCACCATGTTGACCGGGATGGTCTCGATCTCTTGACCTCATGATCCACCCGCCTCGGCCTCCCAAAGTGCTGGGATTGATACATAAAGTTCTTAGATTTGCATCTACCACATATTAAGTGCTCAATAATTCTTACATGTATTTGTTGCTGAATTCACTGTCTCTAGTCTAGTTCTGTTGGCCAAGAAACTGAAAACTAGAGGTCCTATAAAGGGCCTTTTGGCTTTGTTCTAATAGGACTCTTTTATTCCATTCGATATTTCTTTTTTTTTTCTGTTTTTTTTTTTTTTTCTATTTCTGTTTGAAGTGGAGTGCAGTGGCACAATCTCCACTCACTGCAACCACCACCTTCCAGGTTCAAGTGATTCTCCTGCCTCAGCCTCCTGAGTAGCTGGGATTACAGGCACATGCCACCATGCCTCGCTAATTTTTGTATTTTAAGTAGAGACAGGGTTTTGCCATGTTGGCCAGGCTGGTCTCAAACTCCTGGCCTCAAGCAATCCACCTGCCCTGGCCTCCCAAAGTGCTGGGATTACAGGTACAAGCCACCACATCCAGCCTAGATATTTCTTTTAAACAGTAGAATACTATCACAATAAGTGTTTTCCTTTAACATAGATAGGAGTCAGCGATAACCAAGTTTTTCAACATGCTTGCTTTGCATCTAGAAAGTCTCTTGGGTAAACAGTCAATAGTTTTCAAGCATCAACTCTGGGCTAGGTCGTGAGTTGGATATGCAGACCTTTGAGAGAGACATAAAGGATATGCTTCTGCTCTTAGGGAGTCCCCAGTCCAGAGGGGACATGGACATGCACACAAGTAGGATCCCAGATCATCAGTGCAAACTAGGGCTCTGGGGCAACTTTCATGGTGATGAATCCTGCCTTGGCCAGGTGTGGTGGCTCACACCTGTAATCCCAGCATTTTGGGAGGCCAAGGCAGGTGGATCACCTGAGGTCTGGAGTTCAAGACAAGCCTGGCCAATATGGCAAAACCCTGCCTCTACTAAAAATACAAAAATTAGCCTCCCAGTTACTTGGGAGGCTGAGGCAGAAGAATTACTTGAACCCGGGAGGCAAAGGTTGCAGTGAGCAGAGATCGGGCCACTGTACTCTAGCCTGGACAACAGAATGAGACTCTCAAAAAAAAAAAAAAAAAATGAATCCTGTCTTTTCCCTCAGCCCCAAGTCAACTTTCCTCTTTTCCAAAAGTCAATTAAAAGACCTTATGCTTTCCACAAGAACATAAAGACACATGAATAACCTAACAGGAAATTAGCCACATTTGGAAAGAGCCCAGCAGTCATAAACTGTATTATATCTCTTTTCTTTTCCAAATAAAGTTGGAGGTTGTTTGTAGAAACACAGCCTTATCTCAAAAAGAAAATACATTGGCTTCAGGCTTTCATTGAGTCAGCTTTGTTGTTTACATTTCCGTACTGCGGTAACATGCCTGAGAGGACACTCTAGTGAAGAGGTTGATGGAAAAATGCCCTGAATGTAAAAACATTTAGAAATTGTAGCATTTTATTTACCATCAGATAGGACCACAGAAGGCAAAGGTAGAGGGTGCAGGAGGGGGCAAAGCTGTTTCATGGAAATCTATGTTAGAGCTGCTAATTGTCCTCAAGGCTGTTAGAAGGTACCGGAATCTCACAGGAAATGTTTTAAGTGACACCAGAAACATTGAAAAATAAACATGAAAATGGAAATGGGCCACCCAAAAGATTATCATCTACCATCTACCATCTATAGGGGGAAAAAGGTTCACACAGGATGAACTAAAGCTCTAGGTCTTTTAAAGCTTCTCTGCAGTGTTCTGCCATATAGACCCACATGCTAGTCTCGGTTATTCTTTCTCATGAAGATAAATTCAGGATGCACTGTGGCCAAACCAGTGAAAATACAACTTCACATTTCCGGGCCATTCACCTATTGGTAAAATGGTGGCACTGAACCAGATTTTCATTTTCAAAATGTAGAAGGCATCAGATGCTGCCAGATCTTCCAAGGGAGTGGAGATAGGAGGAAACCAAGGGGCAGCTTTGCTCACTCCTCCAGCTCTGCCATTATTATTATTATTATTATTATTTTTTTTAAAGATGGGGTCTCACTCTGTTGACCAGGCTGGTCTTGAACTCCCGGCCTCATGCAATCATCTCTTCCTCCCAAAGTTCTAGGGTTACAGACGTGGAGCCACCATACCCAGCCTGCCATTATTTCTTTAATGCATCTGTTTCTTCATATTCTGTCAAAGGATCCTAGCTTAAAAAAAAGTTGTGAACTGCCAGACTAGATTGTGTACAACAGGCCCTTCCAGAAATACAGTTCTATGATTCGGTGCTAATCAAGTGGGGATTTTCTGTTTTGTTCTGTTTTTGATGATTAGATGTTTGGGAAAAATCCTTTTTTCCTCTAACAGCTCTTTGAACATTTATCGTGTGCCAGGCACTGTGCTAGGGGCCTTAGACTATGGTATACAATGTTATTCAATTCTCACAAATCCCCAGGGTTTTAGTTAGTTTCTTTTTTTTAACAGATGAAGAAACAGAAATGCAGTGTGTAAGTAACTTTTCAATCATGCCAAAAAATGAAACAAAACAGGCAGGGGCTGTCTGACTCCAAGTTTCTGCTTCTACTTCCCTACTTTTTCTCCCAGCATCTTTCTTACTTTTTTTTTTTTTTTTTTTTTGAGATGGAGTTTCACTCCTGTTACCCTGGCTGGAGTGCAATGGTGAGATCTCGGCTCACCGCAACCTCCACCTCCTGGGTTCAGGCAATTTTCCTGCCTCAGCCTCCCGAGTAGCTGGGATTACAGGTGCGTGCCACCATGCCCAGCTAACTTCCAGCATCTTTCTTGATTATGGCTAGTCAAAATCCCAATAACATAACGCATTAAAAACAGGAGACCCAGGAAATTCGAGGCTTTATATCTCTTCAGGCTCCATTGCAAGTAGAGTCACGTATCGTTTCATGATGAAGACATGTTCTAAGAGGTGCACTGTTAGGCAATTCAGTCCTTGCGAGAACATCATAGAGTGCACTTACACAAACCTTCATGGTACAGCTGACTATACGCCATATAGGTGTGTAGTCTATGGCTCCTAGGCTGCAAGCCTGTTCAGCATGTAACTGTACTGAATACTGTAGGCAGCTGTAACACAATGGTAAGCATCTGTATATCTAAACATAGAAAAAGTACAGTAAAAATAGTATTTTAATCATATGGGACCACTGTCATATGTGGAGTCTGTCATTGACCGAAACATGATCATGTGGTCCATGGCTGTAGATTCATCAAAGATCTCTGGAGAAAAGATTCCTTGACGTGACCCAGTGCTGAGGCAGAACAATGGAATGGGGTAAGCAAAACAGCAGATTTCACTGACTCCAATTCTTTTATCTTTTCCCTTCCTCCTTTCCTTTCTTTTCCTTTCCGAGAGCAATTTGAATTCCCTGGCATCTACCCATGTGGATAAACCAAATTCTTCATATAATGTTAATGTAAACACTGCTGTATATATTTTCCGATTTCACTTTAGACTAAATAAAGCCTACATGAATAGAAACAGATTATGAGATAATTGACTGAACAAGCAGTTTTAGCTCTAAGGGAAACAACGAGGTAGACTTTAAAAATATGATTAATATCTATCTGGTGGTTCTGACTTCCAGTGTATAGCTTATAAACATGTATGATGTATCATGTTTTCAGACCTATTGGGGCCTTGCTGCTGGACAGAGAAGAAATTATCAAAAATCATTAAGTCTTAAAAAGTAAAGTATTTTCTCCCACCAAAAGTAACGGATAGGGCCTGTCGGTTTGTGTCCACATAAATTTACTAAATCTATCGGTCACCAGCACCTCTGGTCCTGGCTGAAGTAAGTAGACAGAGCTGTGATGCAGGGCTTTGGTATTTAGAGTAAGCAAGAGTAGCAGAGTGGATTGATTTCCTCCTTATGCACGTGTATGGGGGTAGGGTGGAAATCTTACACTTTTTTGGTATAACCCTGTGTGCCTCAGGAATCAACCTTTTCCTTCTTCCTTTTGATCTGAAATAGGACAGAAGCTGGAGGTGACGTTTAGAGATATATGTAGCCAAACAACCAATCTAGTGCTGAAAAGCACACAGAAAAATAAAAAAAAAACCCGTCTCTCTTTGCTCCTAATCCCTGCTTTCTTTCCTACCATTTTATTGTCTAGCCTAAAACCTGTATAGAAGCTTCTCTGCCTAATTCTCAAATTCTGAACTTCCTGGATGACAGAATACCAGAGCAAAAGCCGGTCTGTGCTGCCTGCAACCAAGAGGGTCATTCGAGATCGTACGTCTACTATCACCTGCACTAGACAGATTTAAGAATAGCCTTTGGAATATAGCCTGTTTGGAAGTGGAAACATTTGCGCATCAGGTAACTCATTAGAACAATGGGATCCTTGGTGTGCTATTGTCCTGCTAATTCTCCTGCACCCTGACTTTGCTGAAGATGGTTATCAGATGTAGTTGCCAGAATAAACCACATACTCCACTAGAAAGACAATGGGTAAATATAACATTTGGCATGCGACATCGAGAGTTTTACATGTTCTTCCCATTGAAAGGACAAGATCTGACCCTAAAGCATCTCTGAAATTGTTGCCTGAGTCACAGTTTCCTAGCAATAGAGGAGGATTCCATATTATGAAAAAGAGTCCTTCTTTATAGTCAAATGGAGGTGTGTCCTGCATTGGCACTTTAATCTTGTCAAAGATGACACACTGTAGCCACAGACTCTGAGTTGAAAGGAAGCCCTGATGGATAAAAAAGGTCTTTATTACTTTATAAAATAGATAATTCTGCCTTTGGACAGCTTTGATTATTAGAGGAATAAGTCCCCATAACGAGCAAAAATTTCCCTTTTACTACCTCACTTGCCTTCTTCACAAGTGCCACTGTTACCCTAGGAGCTCTTTACAATGTGTCTTATATCTTAAGTTATTTAATTATTTGAAGACAAATCCCATGTTCTCCCCCAGGGCGAGTAGCCTCAGGTTCAGTGAGCATTTATTCAGCATCCAAATCTAATCTGCAAGCTCCCCATTTGTCAGTGTCTCTCCTACAATGTATGGTAGAATGAACTCCAGAACTCCAGGCCAGAGTGAAGTGGGGGGATCTGTTCCCTTGCTGTGACTGCCAGACAGTCTGAGACTGCATCCGCTTTCTTGTAGTAACAGCACACACCACTGCTGTTACTGGAGTGGGCACAGCAGGAGACACTGCCCTGAGGCCTGGAGAAAACAATTTTGGAGGTGGTGGAGGAGGTACATATCTTAAAAGTAAAAAGGTAGAAATGTAGAAGCTTTTAAAAACAGAAGCAATAGCTCTGAACGCAGTTCAGAACTTGCAAAAATATTTAGTGGCATTAGGTGGATTTATATAAACAGAAGATAGTTTTCAATGGCTAAACAGTTCAGTACTGAAACCCACAATGTATAATCCTTAGAACCATTGGTATCTGGGGAATTTAAGGCTCTCTTATTTGTTTGTAAACATCCCTTTACTTTGATAAATCTCATTCCAAAATGTACTGACATAGTAAATAACACAAGAAAAGAGAAATGGGAAGCATTTAAACAAATGATGAAAGAGATAATTTTTCCCACCCAGACTACAAATACGGAAGAATTTCCACTGAAATTCACAATAAATGAAAGGGTGGCTCAAGCCTGTAATCCCAGCACTTTGGGAGGCTGAGGCAGGTGGATCACAAGGCTAAGAGATTGAGACCATCCTGGTCAACATGGTGAAACCCCGTCTCTACTAAAAATACAAAAAATTAGCTGGGCACGGTGGTGTGTGCCTGTAATCCCAGCTACTCGGGAGGCTGAGGCAGGAGAATTGCCTGAACCCAGGAGGCGGAGGTTGCAGTGAGCCGAGATCACGCCTTTGTACTCCAACCTGGGTAACAAGAGCAAAACTCCATCTCAAAAAAAAAAAAAATAAATAAATAAATAAATAAATAAAAGTTAAAACAGTAATAAGCCACAAGCAACTGATGGAGAAGCAATGGAAGAAACGAAGACTGCAGCTCCAGGTGCCCCATTTCCCCACCCCACCCCAAAAAGATGCACAAATACTTGAAAAAGGAAAGTATCCAAGGAGGTATACTGGTCACCCGGGACCATGACAGTTGTCCCCTTATCCAGGGGAAGGGTGTCTTGCTGAAGAACCTGGCTCATGAAAAATTCCTACTTTGCCACAGCATGTTCAGAGAAATCCACTGAATACATTCCTAAGTAATAGATCTAGTGCTATGCTGAGCCATGTTGCAGGCTGAGGCCAAAGGAAAAAAATGTATGTCCTGATATGTACATTTTTGTTTATTTTTTAATGGCTAATTTTTCAGATTCAAGAAGTTGAAAAATGTGGAAAACATGAAGAATAAGTATATCAAAACTTAAAACATCAATTTAAGTTTAAATATTTTATTTATTCTCAAAATAATTTCAAAAATAGTTTTGTTTTCCTGGCTTTAAAGGAAACATACTACCAATAGTATTTTCAAAAATCTTCCTGTTTGCTCAGTGTATTAGTCCATGTTCATGCTGCTATGAAAAAATACCCGAGACTCGGTAATTTATAAAGGTAAAGAGGCTTCATGGACTCACAGTACTGCATGGCTAAGGAGGCCTCACAATCATGGTGGAAGGTGAAGGAGGAACAAAGGCATGTCTTACATGGTGGCAGGCAAGAGAGTGTGTGCAGAGGAACTGCCCTTTATAAAACCGTCAAATCTCGTGAGACTTATTCACTATCACAAGAACAGCATGGGAAAAACCCACCCCCATGATTCAATTACCTTCCACTGGGTCCCTCCCACAACATGTGGGAATTATGGGAGCTACAATTCAAGATGAGGTTTGGGTGCGGACACAGCCAAACCATATCACTCATCTTGTTTTTGATTGAGGAAATTGCCATGTTTGATCATTTCTTTTAACTAAGTAATAATCCTAAATAATTTCTAAATAACTTTAGATTACTGATCTTGTCTTTATTCAAATAAATTTTGATCTTCTATATATCACGGATTTTTTGCATTCATTTTGTATTTTTAAAAATATTACATGCACATTGGGATTACTGAATTTTTTTTGGCACCTTAAATTTTGCACCTGAAGGTGAGTTTCTCACTTCCCTCACCTTAATTATGACCTTGTCACTGTTATTTTTAGAAACCTAAGTAGGGAGAGTAGAATATCAAAACTGTGGTTTGGATGCAGCTGTGCTACCAACTACCTTTTTGGGTCTTGATATTTTCCTTTTACCTGACGTGGTTGCCAGCCAGGTGCAATGACAAAACAGCAGAAACACAAACTCTTCCCAAGTGTGCCACTAAACTTTACCCAAGGTCTGAATTGATTGTTGCTTCAGCTGATTATTACACTTAAGAGAGACACAGAGGAACCACTCACTTCATTGAAGAGAAAAATGTAACCTAGAGCCAGGTCTCACAAAAGATCATAAAATGACTGGCTCCTGTAGGAGCTTTGTTTCATGAGTACAGAGAGCCCAGTCAAGTAATAAAGAGTTCCCTCCAGCAGGGACACTCCGTGGAATGTGACATTTTACAAACAGTGTGAGGCTCTGCCCTACTGTATTAATGTTTGCTTTGCAAGTTTTGCTTATTCAAAAGTTGTTCAAAATCTGGTACTCCCTTCAGCCAACCCTCTTGTTTTATAGCATGTTTCAAACACACAAATGATAACTCTATATCAGCTGATTCCCGAGGTGACTTTTAGCTTCAAGAAAATGAGCTTAAGGGTTTTTTTTTAATTGTTGATGATGCTTTGAAATTTGGATGAAGCTCCGTGTGGCAGAATGGTTGCTTAGTTTCAAACTGGTCACTGGGGTGACAGCTCAGCACAAAGATCACAATCACAGTCAGAAACACCATCCGGGACCATGAGGAGCAGAAATATACCCACAGAAAAACTGAAAGAACCAGTGCCTGCGACGTCTTCAAATGGTGGCCTCCTCTCTCTTTCTAAAACAATTCACCCAGCAGGCATGTTCGCCTAACTACTGCCCTGGCCCTAGCTGTAACTCCTAAATCGGGTTACAGGGAGTGGGGGGAAATAATTGACAAAGTTAGGGCAAAATTTACAATTACATTTAAATTTTAGATAAATTTAGTGAGACCTGACAGTATCAATAACGTACCATACATTATTTTCATAAATGCCAATTGTAAACAAACATACACAGAGGACGGGCACATGTTCTGTGGGCTATTCCCTGGCTCACAGACTCTCATGTCATAGGGAAGTATTAGGAGCATTAAAGACCTGGATAAAAATGGTCACACATGGAATAAAAATTATCTTCAAACTAAGAAACTGGGTTTGGAAGTTGGGGGTGATTTCTCTGTGTTTGCATGTTGCGGGGGCAGATAACACTGCAGAGGAAAGAGGGGAGGCAGGAGCTTAAAGGCTGCTGCAAAGGTTCTGGTTAGCTCTGCTTCTGCTTAACTTCTAAATCAATGATCTCAAAGAGGGCCTAAGTCACTCATTAATGGAATCTGTGAATGACATTAGCCTGTACAGTATTGCAAACACCCGAAAATACAAAAGAAAAAACCTTTTAAATGGTCTTTAAAGAGGTCAGAAATATGTCAAGAAATTATAGGAGAATTGAACTAAAGGGAGACCTTGTAATACATCTGGAGTCAATAAGGAAGGACATAGATGTTCCAAATGTGGGGAAAACAAGGGAAGTGGTTAAGTGAAAAGAGTCCCGGGTGGCTAGCCAATTAGACAAGTTTTAGGAGCCAGGGAATGCCTTTCATAAGCAGGTTAGAGAAGAGTGTTTCTTCTCTTGATGAGATTTTACCACCTTTCCCCTGGGATGTCATACTTGGGTGTGTCTGCAAAAACTGTGTAAAAGAAAAGATGTCCTTTCTTTCCCTAGTCCATAAACATGATGCAATAGAACTGACCCCCTGCAAACAACAACAACAAAATGAAGGCAGAGTATTTTTGCATTGACTCAGAGCTCTGTTCATGTATGGAGTCACCAAGGATCCTGGGAAGAGCAGGTATCAGAAGGATGTGGAAAAGAAGCAAACTGTCATTCTTTCATCCAAAGCTGAAAAACAGTTTCAAAAAGTGGTTATGTAGTTAGTTTTTTAAAAACAGACAGCCAAGTTTTATGGAGGGAAGGACAAGCTAAGGAAAGATATTTGAATTCTCAACATTTTCCTGCTGTGTTTCAATTCTACAGGGGTCATGGATTTGCCTAATCCATGCATGGCACTGGTCTTAAACTCTGTGAGAGTTCCTATAGGGAATTCAATTTCATCTCGAATAAATTTAAGTCTAATTATGAAAATAGAGCTTATACATAGGAAAAAAATATAAAAACATTCTAGGAGAATACACAATAAAAGGCAACATGTATAGTGCCCCAAAACAGGAGCCATGGACAAGCTTTGGAGGAGAGACAACAGAGTGTGTGTGGCCAGAACAATCAAGGAAAGTTAATGGGATAGAGGGTCCTAGGGAAGGATCACGAAAGATAACTGGGATCTGGACACGTGGGATATAATCCAAGCGAGAAGAACCTAAGCAGATGTGTCAATCAAGGAAGAGTAGTGATCTCTTGATGTGATCCACATGACGACCTCTATGTGAGGTTTTAAAATGATTTATTTAGAAGTTATCGGATTTTGAGTTGGGTAAGGAACTGTAATTTTCACCAAGTAGAAAAATCCTCTTTTCAAGATCCCTACAGGATGACCTACAAGCTTTTACTTGAAACACTTCCACTGATGGAGAACTGGTCAGTTTTTCAAATAGCTGACTGCTTCCCATGTTACTTTAACCTTTGGCCTTCTTCTGGCTTTTGGTGTAACATACATCACATTTGCTTCCTCAAAACATGACACATACATCCCCAAATTAAAGACAGCATTGGTGGTTTCTCCCTTGTTTTCCTCTTTGTCTTTGGTTCTTCCAATTGTCTCCCTGGGTAGTCCAGGTGTTGGTAAAAGATCTACCCAGGATGCCTTCTAGTTTGAAAACATGTACCTGGAAGTGAACAGTTACCCGGTTTTGGTTTGGTGGACTCAGGATTCAGTGGAGTGATCACTTCTTTAATCAGGGTACTATGTGTCTACTAATGCAATCTAAGATGGCTTTTACTGTTTTGTCTTATTAGATATATCACACTGTTGACTGGAAGAACTCAGTAGGCCTTTAGAGTACCGAACACTCCAGTGGCATGAACATAGAAATCAATGAAGGTAGTGGTGATGGCTGCCAATTCTTAACTCTCCTTGCCTGTACTTTGCCCAGTATTTCAGCCTCCAAGTGGACAAGAAATCTCTCCATAAGTAGCTGGAAGAACTTGTGTATATGGTTGTCAGCTGAGGTCCCTGCAAAAGATATATGCACGTCTTAACCCCAGAACCTGTGACTATGACCTTACAGGAGAATGATCTAAGAAAACGATCTTAGAAGATGTCATGAGGTTTGTGATCTTGAGATGAGATCATCCTGGATTATCTGAGTGGGTCCTAAATCCAATGGCAGATGTCCTTATACATTTACAAGACCAAAGGAGAAGACACAAACGCAGCAGAGAAGGTGATGTGAGGACAGAAGCAGAGATTGGAATTATGCAGCCACAAGCCAAGGAATCTCCAGAGCCACTAGAAACTGAAAGAGACCAGGGAAGACCCTCTCCTGGAGCCTTCAGAGGCATGTGGCACTGCTGATACCGTGATTTCCAATGTCCAGCCTCCAGAACTGTGAGAGAATAAATGTGAATTGTTTTAAGCCACCAAGTTTATGGAGATTTGTTATGGCAGCCCTAGAAATACTACACATTCTAGGGGTATTCCTGCAGGAATGGGGCGAACACTCCCAACAATCCATTCCAACACTTCTCCACATGGCTTAGAAATAGGGGAAACCGTCTGGAGATGGCAGCCACTTAGACTGCTACATACTTAACAACTCTACCCTAGTAAAAAAATGTATTAATTTCCCTTCAATCCATTAATGAATTAGAATACAGATGCCTTCAGAGATGACTGTTAGACTAAATTTGCAAAGGGCCTCAAGCAAAAAAAAAAAAAAAAAAAAAGGCCACAGATAGAATGGCTGAGTGTGTGTATGTTGTGGAAGGTGTAATGTAAGTCTGACAATACATTTAATGAGGAGTCTGAAAACACATGATGACTCATGTATTAATGTGAGTATGCAGGAGCCTAAACATGCCGCGCTCTATTCAGAAAAGGCCACGAGACTCAAATGCAGTCATAAGGAAGTTATGCAAATCATCTCAGCAGATAGCAATGGCATATTTAGACCTCCCCATCATGCATGTGCTATTGTGCCAAGAAGCTATTAAAGAAAATTCTTGGAGAGTTTTGACTGCTGCTGGTGAAGTCTTTTGTGTGTCTGTGACAAATGCATCAAACACAAGCAGCAAATAAGAGTCACTTGAAAAACATGGTGGAGTCTAAGTCCACACATTCCAAGTCACGAATTAGTGACGTTACCAAAAATGTCCCTGGTTAATTGAGACAGAACTTGCTCCCACTGTTAGCAGTGTACTAGTGGACTTACCATGTCAAGGAACTTGGCTTTCTAGAGCAGAGAGAAGTTTTTTCAGATAGGTAGAGGAAGAAGGGCAGAGGTGAAGAGAAGAAAAGTAAACATGGTCATAAAAACTGCAAATCTCAAATTGGAGGATCATCTTGTCTACCTTCTACCTGAGGCAGAAATTCTCTTTAGAATATAAAATAAAGAATGATTGTTAATATTTAATGAGCAGTTTGTGATATGCAAGATACTGTGTTAGGTATTCAACGTGTTTTTTCATTTAATCTAAAATAATCCTATGAGATCATTAAGATGAGTGTACACTTTACAGATGAGTGTACGTGCAGCTGAAGAACATAAATCCTCTTTGTCGTTCATTTATGAACTCATCCACTCATCCAGCAAATAGACACCATGCACTAAATATGCCCCAAAATGATCATCTTTCGTGACAAGAAACTCAGTACCTCAAAAGGCAACCTACTACATTTTCGGACAACTCTCATTCATAGGAAGTTCTTCCTCTTACTGATCTGAAGTGTGGCTCTGTGTAACTAACCAAACGGGACACTGTGGTTTCCTCATGTCACACAGAACAAAGTGGAGAAATGGTAAACACAAAAAGTTTACAGACAACCGACATTTTCCTTCCTGATTTCAGCTCAGTGTTGTTTTCTACATTTTATGTATTTTTATTGTTTTCATGTCAACCCTATTCTTTGGGGGTAGTTGATGGTCGAATCGTATGAACCCAGGAACATTGATACAGTCTTCCTTCCAAATAGTTTTGAAAAGCCTTTGATACTTTGGAGGCACTGTCAGAGGACAATACATTTGCCAACCACATAAAAGTGAGTCTATGTAATATCAGTACATAACTATCAGGTATAGTTATATGCTACAGGGAAGTCCATGAATACTGAGGCAATGAGAAAGACACACTCTAGAGCATCTCTTATCTGTCCTCGCCTTGCCAGCATCTTACAGATGGCCTTTCGAGTAGTCAAGATTATATCCTGGTCAATAGGGTGAGAGGAATAAAAAGCAGTCAGGACCCCACCGGACTCCGTTTAATTCAAATACAGAAAGGAGGTCCTAGCCCAGATCATGGAGACAAGGGGCAGTGGCAGGTGAAGCCAGGAAATCACCGCTCCAGGAAGACCCACTATTTACTCACATCACAGAAGCCCACTGCCCACAGGTTTACAAAAGACCAGGCATTTGCACTGGCAGCCACCCTACCCTGGAACTCCAAGAGAAACAACACAATCTTTGTTATCAGGTTTTCCTCCTCTGCCTTTGGGAGCCTTTCAGGAAATCATTTTTGCTCAGTCTTTGGCCCTCAACTTACTCCTGTTTCCATCATTATTACATCCAGATAGTAGCAGGATTTAAGAAGTCTAACTGTAACCAACATAACACTTTTTAAAATACTATAACAATAGTTAACACTCACTGAACATTTATAATATGCCAGGCACTTTCCATGCAATTATTTCAGTTTTTCCTCCCAACAGCAGAGTCTGATAAGCATTTCATTTTCCAGATGATGAAACCAAAGCAAAGAAATATTAAGTAACTTATTTAGGCAGCAATTACATGGTAGAACTGGGTCTGATACACAGACCTGTCTGATTCTACCAACTATGCCTTCCTTTCAAGAAAATAATACTAGTAACAGCGAACACTGTGGCAGGTACCATTCCAAGCACTTTACACATTTCAACCCATTTAATCTTCATGATAACCCTATTACACAGCTGATGAAAGCAGGTTAAAGAATCTGTCCTGAGTCACACAGGTAGCTCATGGTATATCTGGGTTTTGAAAACCCAGGTAGGTAGCCTGATGCCAGAGACCAGACCACCGTTCTAAAGCAATAGCACTGTCCCACCTAGAATGGAATGAATAAGATTGACATTTTCTAGTGAGGTGCTACCCAGTCTCCCCGGTCAGTCTGACCCATGCACCTAGGCATGCAGCCCACCTCGCTTCACTTGTAAGGACTGACGGGCCCTGTGAAGTACACCATTGTAGCATCCTTTGGGGAAAAATATAGCTAAGGAAACTGACAGGCAGGGAAGTTGAGGTTCTCCCCTAGGGTCCCGAAGGCAAGCTAGTCAGTAGAACCCACTGACCTCAATCCACTAATCCCTTACTCTTGAATGATGAAAATTTGTGTTATCCCTGAAGGGTGAGACCCAGAGAAGCAACCAGGGCCCTGGGCACACAGTGCTCTTATGCAATGACTCAAGGTCATCCAAGGGCACAGCGTATTCCATGACAGGGCCAATCACATCCAATGGGTCACAAGCCTCCCTTCCATGGTACAATGCAGGCTCCAAACCAGGAGCTTCCTCCTGCCAGCGACTCGGCGTGAACCCTCACTGTGGCCAGGGAGAAGGTTGTTTATCCGTGAGACTGGAGGAGACCAAACACCCAGTCTGCCCTGGAGATAGCATGATTCAAAGCAAAAAGAACTCCCTGCCAAGTCAGATGACAGCAACGACAACAGGACACTTCCCTGAAAGGCCCATGGAGAATCACATTTTGTAGGTCTGTTGCAAGATGAGAGCCTTAGGGTGGAAAAAGGAAGAAATCACAGCCAGCCAGCAACTCCTAAAAGCTTTGCCTGGGAGGCTAGCAGAGACACATCTGCCCAACTTGTTTAATGACATAGTTTAGGCATTCTCCTGCCTGTTTTCTTTTTCTAAACTGTTAACACTGAAGTTAATTACCTATGGTTAATTACAATAACAAGAACTATCAAGGTTCCTAACAATTGCAACTGCACAAGATCTTTATCTTGATAGGGTCAGGCTCTCTCCTCCAAGCAGCCTAGGAAAATTCCTTCCAAAAGAAGGACCTAGCCTCACTTTGGCACCAGTTATCACCAGGCATTGGTCACTGGATGCTAACATACATTAGCTACCTCATTAACTTCTCACAACCACATTAGATCATGGGGATTATTATCTCTCATCTTACTGATGAAGAAACCGAGGGTCAGAGAAGTAACTTGCTCAAGGACGTAGATGAAGGAGATTGTACATTTTTCCATCAGGCCCACGTCCACTTGAACCAATGGGTGGAGTTACTACAGGAACTCTGGACAGGACGTGTGTAAATTACCCAGCAGACCAACTGCATTCTAGACAATCTGACTCTGAATTCCAGTCTCTGTCATTTCTTTCCTTTCTTCTACCTGGAGGTACAGTGTCTACAGCATTTTTTCTTTAATACTCAGACATACTAACATACAGTGAGGAAATGATTTATTTAATCATAAACTACTGTGAAAAGAACTAATCAACCATGGCAAACCAGAGGCAACGTAATCTTGAGGAGAGGTTTTGATGCACTTTTATCCAGAAGATCCAAGCTTTGAATCAAGTGAGAACCTTAGTAAGGGACAAGTGGTAGCCAACCCCCATCCCTCAAACTCACAAGCTGTGGGAAAATAGCAGACAAAGGTCGGTTAAAGGAGAACAATACGAGCCTCCAACCAGTAAGACAGAAATTGGCAACAAGAAATAGGCAGATTCTTAGTGGTGAGAAGCAACTGTCTAAGGCAAAAATGATCTCAGCTTATTTCAGTTTATACCTTTGGAGAATTTTTATGTACTTTGTATTTCTAGGTGGATGAACAGGAGCATAATTCCAGATTATTCCCTTGTAAACATATTTGCTAACTTAAATCTCAAAAAACAGCTGATAATGAAATCTAGAATGAAGTGTCTCACAGATTTATTTCTTTTTCCAGCTCATCCCAGCAGGGAATTGGGCTTAAAAATGGTTTCCTTTCTCCAACAACAGTACTGGGGAAAGAGTATGACTAGTGGGCTGTCAAGAACAGAAGTGGAACAGGCTGTGTGATCAGAATTAAGAAAACAAAAATGGATCCTAGAGGTAAAATTACTTTAAAAGCCAGGTCCTGGCAGGACAACTTCTTTGGCATATTTGCTATTAAATGAAAAAGAGACAGAAAAAGCCAAAGAGGTCTGAAAAATTAAAAATCAGACCCGAAGTCACATTCTTGTGGCAATGTGGGAATTAATCCTTACTGTAACCAAAGGTCAGCAGGCAGCCAGTCCGGGTCTGAATGTAAACACATTCGAGCGCAGACTGCAAAGTCGCATTTAAAAGGGTGTTCAACAAAGAGTAAAGAAAATGGTAGACTGTTTCAGAGAAGAAAACTGGAATGGACAGCTACTGAATGGAGGAACAGAATTTGCCCTGAGGAACAGGTTTTCAGGAAGAAAGAAAGAAAAAAAAATCTAGGGTTGCCTCTCAGGTTTTGATCGAAATCACCTCTGGTGAGATGAATGCAGAAAGTAAGGGAAAATACGGTGGAAAAAGGCAAAAATAAGAACTCTAAATCCAGTCTGCACTGGCCTCCTAGCCCCCATTAAATGGGCTGAAATGTCTGTGCCTTGGAGCTAAGTTTCAAAAAAAGCCTTCACTCTACTTCTCTCTAGGTTGTTGTCCCTGAGGACAAGCAGAG